CGAAGTGTGGGTGGGCAGCGACTGTGTTAGTAAACATAATAGAGAACAGATGATGGACATCTTCGCCCCCTTCCCTATCATCTCGTATTCTTGATTAGAGAAACAGCCCTCCAGCTTCCTCTTCAGCCCCGCATGGTAACTGTAGCTATGCAGAGAGCAAGGCAGGAGTCTCTCCTGAAGCTCGTAGTTTCCCAGAAAAATACTCCCCTTAGTTGAAATTTTTAACAACTCCAGATTGTTCACAAAAAGGAAACTTTGAGAACAATTTGGGGGAAGAAATGTGTAGTCTCTGTTGCATTCTGTCCAGAAGAAGAGGAAGAAATAGCAAGTAGCTGTAGGGCGATGGAAAAGATGGTGTGGTGAAGAATACATCTTAACATGTAAACAAAAACCCCCAAAAACCAAACAAACAAACAAACAACCCCCAGCTATCTGAATAAGTTGATGGTTTGATGTCTGTCAGGGTCAGTTCTGCTGTAGTTCATCATAATGTGTTGTTACTTGTAGCCCCTGATGGCTTAATCCTCAGGATTTTTTTTTCATCTGCATTTGGTGCTTAAGGGATTATCATCTATGTTGGGTTGCAAAGAGGCTTTCTGAGAGCATTTTGAGTGCTTGGCATGCCCAGGCCCTTACTGAGGACATAGCTGTGGTAATCTCATACATTTACCATATAAACATGAGTTTGTGCTTTAAAGCTGTTCAAACAACAGGTATCCTTTCCAAACCCCAGAAGCAGGCACAGCAGGCTGGCATTGTTTCAGAAGCCCACTGTGTGTGTCAGATTAGAAATGTTCAACCTATTGTGGGTTTGGGTTGCCTGAGTATGTACTACAATGATGTCAGAGAAGACAAATATTGTGGGGTGTTGGGAGGGAGCATAGGATAGAAAGAGCCTGCATACCAATTACTAAGCCAAATTCCTGTGGGGACTTGAACCTGACCATCCATCATTTTAAGCTAGTGCCCTAACCACTGGGCTATTTAGCCAGTAGCTCTTCCCTACCCTGCCCCCATTTTGTGAAAACTTTCAAAAGATCTCTTTTTCTTCCACATGAGGTTGAAAACAAATTTCTAAACATTGAAACATTTTGAAAATTAGAATTGTTGCTTTTCTGGCCAGTCTCACAGATGCCCCTGAGGAAAGAAACTTTAGAGAAGGCAAATATGGAATAATATAGCTGCAGGGGTGATGGCTTGGCAATTAGTCACTGGTTTATAGCCTGAAGGTTTACAGTTTCCATCTAAAAAACTGATGTGCCTTATCTATTTTAACCTTGGAGGCCCTGGTTGTCTGCATACTTTTTGTGTTCATTTTTCAATCTTGTTGAGGTCTTGACCTTGCTGATACTGTGTGAAAAGAGTTCCCCAGGCTTAATTCTTCCAGTGTGTTAGAACAATATGCCCTTCTCTTGGTTTTGAACATGCTGCCTCTCACTGTCATAGCCCGCTTGCTCATGGATTAGGAGAAATTGGAATGTGTCTGGTTTACCTTTTCTATTCTGCTTATTATTTCTTACGCTTCTGTCATGGCCAGCTGCATGGTGACTGTAGGAGATGGTGCAAGAATCAAAAGGGACATGGATTTGTGCTTCTGTCCTGTGTGGAGTATGTGTGACAGGCTGTCGATTTCTTTAATGAATTAGTTAACCACCCCACTGGGAGCCATGGCCCCAATGACATAAATTAACCTACCTCCATGAACTTTTAAGGAGTTATGCTGATTGGCACAACTGAGGATCCAGTACAGTTTGCACAGGGCTGCAGAAAACACAAGAAGAAGCAACAGGTCCTGCTTGGAGGCTTTTACAGTTTAATTAGAAAAGATGCAACACACTCAGAGATATGGAGGAAGATGATGTCTTAGATCAGCTTTTTAAACGGATTATTCATTTAATCATTTTTTATCTGGCAGTGGGTGAGTGGCAGCGCTTGCTCAGAACAATATTTCATAGTGCTTAAATGTCCTGGAGATTCTTTAGCTGCTTTCCCGTTCCTTCTGTGTAGTGCATGCTATTACTGGAGGCACAGCATTGGAATCAGTGGGATTACAGGAGCTGGGTCTTCTTGTTCAGCACTCAAAGGTATTAGGATATATGAGGGTCTCCCTAGCTAGGAGAGGAAAGCTGGCACAAGGCCACATTGGCCCCTCTTGCATTTCTCTAGTGCATTGAAGTACAGCTTTATATTTAACCAGCCAGCTCTGCAGCTGGGGTAACTTGACATAACTTAGTGAAGTCAGTGGAGAATTAGGCTGAATTTCCCCCAAATTCTTCATTTCCTTCTCCTTTTGTATTTGGCCCAGTGGTTCTCAGTGTAGGATTTAATCTCAGCTGGAGTGAACTGTGTGTTCATGGAGAGTACCAAGGATACAGTGGAAGCCACTAAGCCCTTTCTTGTGCCTGCACAAAAGCCCTGCTTTCTGCAGTATAAACTTCCATCATGATACAATGCTGTGCTCTGTCCCCCCTTGTCCTCCACCCTCCCAAAGGCTACAGGCTTTGCTTAGCCTGATCATGGTACAGATGCTGCTCTAAGGACCCGCATGTTCCTAAGAGGCCTTGAAATAAACCTTGGCATTTCGAAAGGCCATTTCCCACCCAGCCGACATGTCAGCACTAATCCGAGGACAACCAGCCGCATTTAGGGGAAAAAAAAAGAATCAGCTCCCACTCAGCAGAATAATGGGAGGGGCTGTCTCCAGTGCTTCGAGGATGCTGCTGGAATTCTCCTGCAGACAAAGAAATGATTGATGAACTAGGTCAGCCGGGGAGGAGATGGTACGTGGGAAAAGTGCTGAGCAGCGAGGCTGCGAAAAGGAAGCCTTTCCCTGAAAAAGAGCCACCTCCAGGCAGGCTGTGTTTCCTTAAGAGAAACCTGTAGCTATTGCGCCTCGTGCAGGCAGGGAACAGGACGGAATCTGAATGGCTGAGAGGGAAAAGGGGAGTCCTCAAGCACGCTGCCTGCATAGCAAAAAAGGGAAAAGAAAAAAAAAAAGAGATCTGGTTTTATTTTTGGAGCCCTAGGAGGGATGGGGTTGTTGTGAATCTGCTGGCTGTAGCAGCAGCCTGGGAGCTGGGACCTCTCCGTTCCATTCTTAGACCTGCCACTAACTGCCTGGGGTTTTGGGTAAGTCAGGGCCTTGCTCCATTCCTGGTCCCGCTTCTATAACAGGGCACTGCTGATGCTGGCCTGCCTGCAGACAAACAATGACCTCCTAGGGGGAGGTCTGAATAGAAAAGGACAGCCCTGGAGAGAGCAGCTCATGGTGTATGATGCTGACACTGTAGGAGCCCCTGGCAGTGAGTTAACCCCTTCTGCTTCACTTGAAGGATTTTAGCTCTACAAGCCTTGTGAAATGCCATCGACATCCCCCTTCTGCCCCTGCCTCCCAAGTAGTGATTGCTCTTTGGAAAGTGCTTTGAGCTCCCGAGATTTACCCGGTCTGCTATTGTAGGGTGTTCTGATCCCGGCCCTCCCCCACATCTTGTGTGAACCTACTCTGCTCCACTCTCGTTTGGACCCATATATTGCAGGACAGGAAGGATCAGCATCAGTTTCTACGTTTTGCTGAGTGTGGAGTCCCAGTACAGGGGACTTTTCAGGCTTCACATTGCTTGTGCCAGCTTGAGGCTGACTTGGTTGGCTGCTGCCAACAGCAGTCTTCCTACAGTCACAGCAGTGGACCAGAGCAATTAGCTTTCCTCCATGAAAAGCCAGTGCCAGGAACTGAGCCTTTGATAATAACAGGAAATCCACCCCCAGTGCAGAGGCTTGGGGATGAGAAAAGCCATCAGCAAATATCTCCAGTGGCATCTGATAAAGGAAAATGTCAGTCCTTTTTGCATCCACCTGAAGATGGATTCATTTAGCGCTGATTTCTCGCACAGCCCTGCCAGACTTTTCATACCCTCTGCCAGATCCAAGCTCTTGCTGACTTGGCTATTTGGTTTTGTTTTTCTTCTGAGGAAAAGGAGAGTTGTACCTCTTCTGTTTCATAAGCAGCTTTTTGGCTTTCATCTTGCAAATGCTTATGCATGTGTTTGGCTTTAAGTGTACACACAATCTGTTGGTTTCAGTGGGACTATACTTGTACACTCCATGTGAACACACATAAAAGTATGCAGAATTGGGGCCTTAATCATCAAGTTTTGAGCCCATTTGCAGCTCTTGTGATGCATCTCAACCCAGACCTTCCCCCAGCCCCAGCTATTTAAGTCCCAAAGCAGTTTTGCATTAGGTTCTAGTCTGTCTGCAGCATCCTGTGCTATTTCACCTATGCACTTCCACCATCTCTCCCATCTCTATCTATGCATATTAGCCCTGACTTGGTTAAGTTCAAATCCTCTGCCTCTACCTAGCCTTGCTAGTACATGTAATTCCCAGTCTCCAGTTCACTTCTTGTAGTCTCATTTGAAGCAATCAGCTTGCTTTCCTCATTGAATTCTGAAGTGGATTAGGCTGAGACTATGATACTCATTTCATGCATGTGCCAACGCAGATTTGGCTCTAGCTCTCCAGATATAAAGGAGCAGTGTACTAACCAGCAGGATTGCCGGGGCCTGCTATCTAGAGCTCCACCTCTTCTTCACTGGGGGTGAAAGCCGAGGTAGTACTGGAGCGTGCTGAGGATGTCAGAATTCCTGAAGTGCGTTAGTTGATGACTTTGCAGAATTTCCCTTCTGTTTTGCTGCTGTTAGGTTACAATCTAGCCAAGGACTTCTGTTTGCATACAGGCTAGCAGAGATCTCCAGGCACAGCATGCCCAGATTTACCCATTAACATGCTTGCAAGTGGAGTGTTGTCAAACTGCTCTGTAGCAGACAAGTGATTTGTTTTAAAAAGCTGCAAAAGTGGAGCCTGGTTCAGGTCTTGCTCACACAGGATTTGTGCCAGTGTCCATAAATCCACAGCATCCAATCCATATCTCACTTGTACCAATATGACAGATAATGACTGCTGAAAGTGTAGGGGAGGAAATCAGGGCAGAGTGGTCGGTGATGGGTGAGATGACAGAAGTTTTGCAGCTGAGAATGAAGGAATGGGGAGGGTTTGGAGACGCACACACAAACCCACTTCCTTACAGCCTTAGTGGTTGTCTTGACTAGGAAAAGAGATGATTGATGATGTGTTTAGGCTCTCTCCTAAAGTTGATCATGACCAACTAACATGAGGCAAAATGGAATTAACCTCTGCCTGCACTCCTAGCTGATACGATGTCCAAAATCTTATCTAGCTTATGATGAAAACCTTGTTGTTGGTGTATTGGCTAGCTCATTTTAACTATCTCATTTAAATGGACAGTGTGGGTGAGGCAATACCAAATTTCAACAGGCTGGCTGACTTACAACAAGGGACACCCCTCTTAGTTTTCATTGGACCAGTATAGCATGTAGAAGAGGTGACATGCTGTGACCACACTTGATTCGTTAGCCAATATGTTAACATCGTGCATGTAATCCTAATCTACATCGTAGAGCCAAAGATGACCATTGTACTGGCTCTGTGCAAGGCCCAAAAGCACCTGTACCCTGAATCCATCACAGATCCTTGTTCTTTCTGTCAGTTCTACTGCTGTTGTCACCCTCAGCTCATTGCAAGATGTGATTTGTTTCAGCTGCCGTCCCCATGATGTGCGAGACCGGCCTGCTCTCCCCGGAGCCCTCCAGCCCCACGCAGTATTATGGAGAGTCTTCTGATACCTACTACCATGTTGACCGTTGGCAGAAACTCCGCACGGCTGTCAGGAAGCTGGAATTCTGGGAGAACTTCAATGCTGAGCTGATAGGTAGCGGCTTCTTCTCCAAGGTGTATAAGGTAAAGTGACAGCAAGAGTATGGTGCGCTACAAGATGCCCTGGATGATGGGTGGCGCTCAGCTTGCAGGTTATGGCAGAAACTGTTGGCGTGACAGACCTACACATGTTTAACTCCTCTTCCCAGCCTATTTCTTGTTACGAATCTTCCCACCATGTTGTTTTCTAGCTCCTTGTCTCTCCCACTTCATTTTCTGAGAGAGTGCTTGGGGTGGGGCAGGAGAGGAAACCCTTTATTTGATCCTGTTTTTCTCTCTTCAGAGAATCCTGGAGGGGATTGCTCTGATTTATGACAAGGATCTTTCACTTGACACTTAGAACTAGATGTCAGGAGTATGATCCCTGGCTCTGGTATCGACTCAGTAGATGACACTGAACAAATCACCGCCCCGTCTTCACATTGATTTCCCCATTGTGAGGAGGCCTAGCTCAAAAGCACCAGTCTTTGTCAGAATTTGGGAGGGCCATCATTTTCTCTGGGTAATGAGAGGCACTGGCCTGGAAGGTATTTATCCTGTGTGCATATTTTCTTGTTGAAAATAAGGCAAAGCACAAAGTGAAAAAAGAATCTAAAATTAAATCCCACATGGTTCCCAGAATAGCAGCCTCCCACTCCCCTGGGAAGCACCAGCCTATGTGCTTTTCTCTTGCTGCGTGCCCACAGTGTATTAGTCTGGTCCACATGGTATTATCGGAGAGCTGAAAAGCCTATAGGGCTGCTGTTCTGTGGGGTATTTCTCTCTCTTGCTCTGAGGGTAGAAATCCTGGACCTTGCAGGGGGCTTACCCTTATTGCTTAACAACATGCCAGACAATCATGACTGTGTTCTGCAGTGGGGATGCTCTGAGTAACTCTGCATCAGGCATCGTTGAAGTGGGAGGCAGTTTAAAGCCCTCTGTCCAAATCCAGATTCCAGGGTGTTGCTTGCCAGTTATCATCTGTGCCCACTGTAGCAAGCTGCTTAGAGTATCTCACGCATGGAGTATGAAGTACACTTGGCCATGGGTCACATGTAAATTAATGCTTAGGTCTGCGGATAAGAACTATACCTCTTGCCTTTTGGCCACAGTGCCACAGATCTTTCATATAAGCTACCTTGGAAGAGTAAAGTTTTCTGATGGTAAATGGGGCTCAAGCCTTTGTCTGCCATTCAGACATCTGGTGGGAATGGTCTGGGTAGACCTGATCCCGTCTCAGGGTAGAGGGTTGGACAGGGTGACCTCTTGAGGTCCCTCCCTGCCCTACATTCGTATGATTTATTTTCCTCTTCCCCACTCTCAATGTTACATGCTAGTCAAAGGTCCCTCCATGTGAGTTTTGGGGTTGTTGTTTTTTTTGCAGTAACCTTCCAGAATACTGCACCTAATGGCAGTTTTGTTATGGCTGTGTCATGTACAGGAAATGGAAACAAACCATGCATACGACTTAGCAGGGTTTGGGTACTTACAGTGGCCATTCTTAGGAACAAGATCATGACTTCTGGTTTTCTCCATACCAACATAAGAGGTTACCACCAGACAAATAACTGGACATGCACATTGCACAGCTATTTGGGGCAAGATCCTCAGCCGGGGCAAATTAGTGTTGCTCTGTTGAAGCCATGACATTTAGCACCAGTGGGCAATTTTATCCCGGGAGCGTATAAAAGGGGTCAGTATATTGGAAACACCACTGTGTATTGACTTCTTAAAGTGCTGACTTAACCTTCTTGTACCCTTGTCACTGTTGAATCCATGCAGACTTCTGACAGAGAGAGAGCGGGCAATGTGCTACACATGGCTTCACCTCCACCTCACTTCTCACAGCAGTCTTTGTGAATAATTGCTTATCTCCACCTACATGGAGAGCCTAGTGCCATTCTCTCTCCCTCCCTCCCTCCCTCCCTTTCTTTTCTTTAGCAAATTGCCGTAGTAACAGTTGCTGCTTCTGTTGCGCGTGACATTTCCATTCTGTCCTGCTGCTGAATGAGATTCCAGCAGTAGGCAGGTCGGAGACAGAGTTTGAATGAAAATACAATAACTCTTAAGCAGAAGTATAAAAAAAATAAAGATGAC